ATTCAAAGTAATATAATAAAGTAATACTTGCTTAAATATCACCAGGTTCCAGAACCAACCAGCGTAACACATTGCTGTGAAACTTGTTCCAGGACGTAAAAACAACTGAATAAAACATTTAAGTTAAGCAGAAAATTCCACCAACATTTCCTCGTGGGTGGGTATTTCCGTGATACAGCTTCCTCAAACACAGCAGCAGAAAAATCATCATCTATTCAAAACGTTGTTTAAAGGCGCTGCTCGCCCGCGCAGGTGTTTGATTCTGGCGATTAGGACCTGATTCTCAGGTAAAATTTGGGACGTAGCTTTGTTTTTTTTAACGATGGAATTGAATGTTGGTATGGGTGTGTTGTTGTGTGTGTGTATGTTGTTGGTTGTGTTGGTATTGATGTCTGTTGTTGTGTTGTTATGTTCTTGCCAGGGTGTAAGAGAGCACGCTGGTGAAGACTGTGAACGGCGCCGAGAGGGTGTAATTGCTGCTGGTAAGTCCTTTTAAAACTGTCAAGCAGAGACCACAAACGGCGAGACCTTTTACTGTCTGATTTTCAGAGCCACAACAGTCCCGGAATCTGTCAAGTGGTAGGGTCTGTCATAAATTAAATCTAGTCTAGTAAGTTTGTGACTGGACCTCGGCTAAATGAAAATTAATGAGAGTCATCATCCACTGTTCTAGGCTATACGCTCACGTTCAGTTTGCCCACGATCCGAACCTGTGAGTGTAGGACTGGTAGTGATGCAAACAGCTTTAGTTTCTCATAACTTTAGCCTCCTGAAGAACAGTTCTCGAAATGACTGTACATCCATTCATCAGATGGACTTCAATGGATATTGATCTATAAGAGTTTACAAGACAATGCACCATATGGTATTCTTATAAATACAGTGGGATATGATCATGATCATAACTTGTCAGAGCGCGGTTATGTCCTTTCAGTTATGGTTCCAATTTACAAGGTCAATGTAATGCAGCTTCTGACAGTAGGATCGATACAGCAGACGCTGGAATCAGCAAGCATACATTTAAAAAGGGTCCCCCTAATGGACGCGGCAACTGAACCTGAAAAAAATGTTACTCTGGTTGAGTCTTGAGGTACAATGAGCTGAGGTATTCAGGCAATCATCCTTTATGGCGTACAAATCGCTATAAAGAGAAACCTTCGTTAAATGTAGGTAAAGACGCGAAAAAAATTATCGAGCAAGCATAATTAGAACATAGAGAAGCATTCTGATACACTGCTTTAATGAAGGAACTGATTACATAATTACTAAGGTTTTAAATGTTAATATTAAATTAACACTTCCTTACTAAAGTTCAGGCTTTTCAGATAAAACGTTTGCAAACATGAGAGTTAAGTGTTGTTAAGAACTATTAAATGTAAACACAGCACTTAAAGCATCATTATAAATCATCAGACACGCGGAACCCGAACTCCTCCCCTCTGTAATGTCACTGAGGGGTTCTCTTGGCGCCCATAATGACTATATGACCATGATCATAAATAATACCCCCCTTGGGGGCTCGGAACGCCGCGCCCCCCCCGTCAAAAAAAGAGAGTCAAGCTAAAATAGAACTATTAGCAGTAACCTGCTAACCGTAACACAGTCAGCTCCCTAACTCAGTTTCATGTGGACTCACAGTCATGAACTGGTTTCCAGGGGGTTGGTTCCCCTTTCTCGAGGAAGCCAGAGGATACGTGAACCATAAATTGCAGAAATAATCAATAAATCAGCCACGAATCAATTTTACAGTTTTATAATACATTCATTATTATGCTTTCAGACCTCAAACTGGGTCAGAACAACACGCTATCAAATAGGTCTCCTTCCCCTCTGCAACACACACCACAGTATTCATTACACCTTTATCTTCACCTGGTCTGGTTTAAGCTGATATTTACTCTCCGTCTCTCCTCTCTCTTCTCTCTCTACAACACACACACACACACAATACAGCTTCAATCCTCTCAGATGGATGAAACACCAGAAAACCACATTGAAAACAGCTACTGATACGGAATGTAGACGGAGCATCACAGGCATCGATCGTCTGGGGTAGAAGCAATCAAAATGTGGATTATGGAACTGAAAAAGCTACATATAGAGCGCATTTACATTCTCTTGCAACATTACACGACACACCACACGAGCACAACACGACACACCACACACACACACACACCACGGCAATCAGGAAGCAACGTGTAGGGTTACAGTATTTTACCCATGACCTCTCCACTTGCAAGTGGGAGAGCCGGGGATCGAACTGCCACATTCTGATTAAACAAGCCCCAACAAAAAGCGCTCAAATATTCCTCTTTTTGGTGTTTATGACATTCAGTTATGAAACATGTGTTGGGTTTTAGGAAGAAAAATACAAAATAATCGATTACCTCTATTCGATCAAACACTGAACAGGGGAAGGTTGGCACACTGTCCCTGATTAACTGGATTCTTCTGGTAAACTGTCAGAAAAATACACCTCTTGACATCATTTAAATTGGCAGTACAAAACAATCCCGGAGAGCAACCGATGGCCGAGAGCTCTACAAAAACACGGAGAGATACCTTAATAAACCAGATCTAGTTGTGCCTTTACTTGTAAAACTAGATTCCTCTCTCACCCGCATTACTGTTGTATTCCTAAAATACAGGTCTGGCCATCCTGGTATGAAATTAGACTTAACAGTCGTAATTTAATATCTCATCTGAGGTTTTCAATCTTGTCAGGTCTGCAAGCCTTGGGACATGGTAAAGTGGAAAAAATTTTGATACTGATATAAAGGGTGGGATAGTCACCGTTCAAGGGATATAACAATCTAATAACGAATGAATATTTCTATATTAAAAAGGGGATGCCTTGCAGTATACCAGTGGAGCTGTTCGTAACGGTCCCTTTTCTATTAATTAAAGCGTGTTTGTTCGTTTATTTACTGTGACACACACACACACACACACACACACACACACACACACACACACACACAGCCTCAGTGATTACAAACACAGACACATGGCTGTAACCCATCGCACACGTCCACGTGACGCACAGACGTCTGCATTAATCCCTCATTGAGCCTTTTTGATTTACTGTATGTTTATGAGTGATTATGTCCCCTATCTCTAATTGATTGGATGTCTCATTACTGGCAACTTAAATCAATTGGCTCTGCATAATGACTAATTATAATAGTTACAACATGTGTTCTGATTTATTACTGATATTAACGTTGAGCTGTAACATGGAGGAGACGTGATTTACTGTTGTTTTGGTAATTAACGGCAGATTATCTCGTGTTATGTTTAAGAACATGTTGATGAACTGGAGCCATTTGTGGGGTTAAAAGTGAAAGTTTTAAACCTGATGGTGGCGCTAGAGGGAAGGTCGAGTTATCTGTTTTTCTCTTCAATATCTGCCTTAAAATCTTATCTCTTTGTATTTATTAAGTTTCCATCAGTTTGTTTTTATGCAAAGTTCTTTTTATCTGGAGTTTATCAGGTTGAAAACCTTAAAACAGAAATCATAAAAACAGAAAAAGAAAACAAACATGTTTAAAGTTCAGTATTAACAGTTTCCATTCTATACTTTCTATATTACTTCTATATCATATTCCACCAGCATTTATTACTCAGAGATTATTATTGATAACATTCAAATAAAAAGAAAGCATCAGTACATCAACAAAATAATTAAACTTTAACCACAACTCTAAAACACTATAGATAATTATAGGTCTCCATAAGCAATGCAAACAATATTATACTGACACTAAATATGATCCACTATCACCATAATAATGTAATTAAATAATATTAATGACCGTAATGTTGCAACTTATTGAACAAACTGAACACCCACATGGTCACATTAAACACTAAATAAACATTTTAATACAGTAAACAAGCATCTAAACTGCACGTCATTAAATTCAGACATTTTATAATTAGCATTGCTAATCAACTGAGTAAACAAACACATACCAATACTGACGCACAGAAGAAATAATAATAATAATAATAATAATAATAATAACAATAATAATGGTGATTTGGCACACAGACTGAGTGGGACTAAGAACGTTTGTTGTCTTCTGATATCTGAGTTAAAGTGAGTGAGTTTTATGATATTGTGCCGCAGTGCATCAGCATGCAGAGTAGATGCATGCCGGTATCGTGAATTCGTGATGAATCGCCCTCATGCACGAATCATACATCAATAATAGCCAAACTTTACGCCTGAACCATGATGATGAAGATACAGAAAGACAGAAATGTAAAAAGATATCTGCTACCTAAAGCTGAGAGCCTCTCTGAGTCCAGCAGCTAAATCTCTGCACCTCTGCAGACCAAACTCCACTTAAAAATCTGGCATTTTAATACTTAACGTTCTTATAGACAATCACATCTGCTTCCTGAAGTGTAGAGGCACAAATAGCACATCAGCAATATTTAAGAGACTCCCCCAAAGTTTCACAAATCATGTCTTCAGGGGAGCTCTGGAGGTGGCACCCTGATAACCTAAAGAGGGGTTCATCCCCTAAAGAGCATCTACAGCAGCAGTTAGTCTTTTTGATACCTCAAATTTGACCCGATGATGACGCTGGAGGAAACGTTATTTTGAATCATCATCTTGCAACCTTGAATATTTGTAATGAATTCTGTGGCTGTTCATTCTCTTCTTGTTTCAGGTTCCTGGAATATCTGTAAGTTTAGGTTTTTCTGTCATTGAAACACCTAGAAATTGCTTAAATACCAAAAATCCTGGAAAATGTGACTTGTACTTCAGCTCCCTCACTAAGATTACATTTGTTGTTGTGGTTGTTAATTGTCCGTGCAACAAACACTTATACCTTCTAAATTTCCTAATAGGCTAATAGGTTATTGATGTTCAATGTAGAGAGTCCCATAAACAATTGTTTGTACGGGTTTGTGATTGTATTTGACAAAGAGTGCTTGTAATGACAGTGTGTGTGTGTGTGTGTGTGTGTGTGTGTGTGTTGCAGGTCTCCTCGGTATGGTGGCCCACATGATGTACACTCAGGTGTTCCAGATCACAGTCAGTCTGGGTCCTGAAGACTGGAGGCCTCACAGCTGGGACTACGGCTGGTCCTTCTGGTCAGTCCACACACACACACACACACACACACACACACACACACAAATATACCAGTAATTCTGATAAAACTGCATAATTAATTAATGTTTCCACTTGTTTTAAACTGATCATTTAAAATTATCCAGTGTCTGACAACAGCTAGCAATATGTAGGAGACAGATTCTGAAATAATAAACTTAAATAGACGATGCAACATGCTGCCGATAACGTTAATTTTTCGAATCAGAAAACAAAGAAGTGCAGCTTGAACCTCCATCGATGGACGACAAGTTTTCTAATTCCTCTCCTTCCTGCAGTGAGGGGGGACGTGTCCTCGGGCGCGCCCCATCATCCCTCCATTTAGTCGATTATAAATCATCTGTTTAGGATGTTGCCAGAGGCGTTGTACTGCAGGAGCGTTTCGGCACTCGGTGATGAGGTACATGGGAGCGTTGAAGTTGTTGTTTCTGGGATAATTAACCAGTCGAGACGCACCTTGACCTCCGCTGCTCTCTGCTCGGAGGCTGCAGCTGCTGTCTGAGTTCAGTCTGCTTGTGGATGAAGGACAAACGATCAATTCATGTTCCTGTGAATGTGTGAATTTGATAAATCACACGAGTAGCACGTATTTGATTTTTACAAAACCTCAGAATATTATTATAATTTTAAAACAGGAGCTGTTCTGTACCTTTCGATCATATCACATCTTCCCCAGCTGTAATAGAATTGTTAATATCTTAAAGGTACTAGTGCAGTGCCCGTAGGA